CCAAAGTTTCACTTATGTTTATACTAATAACTTTTGAACCGTAAGGCACAGACGGCACAAATTCTTTTTTCCTCTGATTACTTGGCTCATGCCGAGTCAAATGAACTCCAAAATTCAAAAATCGTAAGGTTTAGTTTTTTCGCTATTTTTAATAGTTTGATAAACATCATCTTCAGACCATGCTGGCAAAAATTTATGGAATTAAAGTTGATTCGTCCAACCGTTATTGGTTATTACCTCAAATAACACGCAAACGAATTCTACGAAAAGCACGCAAAAATGGATGTGAGGCTATATCTCCGCAACGGTTTGGCGTATTGAGACCAAACTTGGTGTGTGTTATAACAAGCATGACCTGAGGTTACCTGCAGTGTTTCGGCTCAGTGCCACCTAGTGGTCAGGAGATATGAAAAATGGCTAATTATTGCTTATAACTTTTGAATGGTTTGGCAAAACTTGTCTCTTTAGATTCGGTGGAGCATGCCGAGTCAAACCACACCCAATTTTGGGCATCATGTAAGCCATTTTGGGCGTCGGACATTTTGAATTTTGTCATAAAATGCTATAATTTACGAACTCATTGACATATCGTTACGAAACTCGGTATGCATCTTTGACACCATGCCCTGATGGTACTCAAAAAGTTTTGGGGCAGTTATAATGACATTTCTAAAAATGCATGTTGTATGGGACGTCCCTTATAAAAACTGACCATTGCATTTTATACTTACTAGAAATTAGTTCTTTATAGGCCTCTGGAGTGAAATAAAGGCATATTATTTAACAAAGTAATTTCTTTTTTAAAGTGAACTTATTTTGTTATTGGAGTTCACTTTCAGCGCAGATGTTAAACCTCACTATATAAAAATGCTGTCAATCTTGTACAGTAAAACAAATTAAAAGCAATTCATGTATGTAGAAGGATGAAATACGTTATTTTGTCTGTTTTCTATGAATCCTGCTGTAACTCATCTACATAAAACAATGATTTGAAAGGTGATCTTTAAAGAAAATTATAGTAACACACAACCGTCAAAGACACCAATAAATAACAGGGATGTTAATGCAGAAGTACAAACAAACAAAAAATAGAGAGAGAAATGTCATCTTGTTATATGTTCTGTAAATTCTGGGCGTCTAAATGAAAAGCGCTCTGAAAGCGCGTTCTCTCCGTGTTGGTCCTGAATAGACCGTAGTCATAGTAATACGTGCGCACACTCGTTTCAATCGCGGCTGGTTTGACCGTGTTCTTCTTAAATGCGGCTGGCTTGACTGGAGATGCCACCAGAAGTGGCGCTGCAACCTGACGCTGCCAACAAATATACCAAGTCTAATAGATAAACTAAGTTGGCTGAAAGAGCAATACTAGCAATTAGCACAAAACTATATAGCCATGTAATTGCTAAATAAGTTAATTGCCTATTAGGCCATGTATTAGAAAAATTTGAATTAGTAGAATATCCAGTGTTATGAAAACTATCGCCTATAGTGCATTTATGACAACCTTTTACGGTAATATGTTGCATTTATGGGCTACATAAATTTCACCTCAATAAATGTTAGCCTGGAATGAATGCAAATTCCCATGATAAACTTCTGGGGTTTTGGAGCACCAACTTGTAAAAGTGCTTAACAGTAGCTCAACATAACTACAATGTGTTCTTTAATGGATTCACTGTCTTATTCTGCCCTCTAGTGGCTTATATTGAAATTAATACAAACCTTAACATAATGGGCCCTTTTTTAACAGTCTAAGCGCATGGTCTAAAGCGCACGGCGCAGGTGCACTCAGGTCGTGTCCGAATCCACTTTTGCTAGTTTAACGACGGGAAAACGGTCGGCGTGCCCGGGCGCATGGTCTAAACGGGTTGTCCCTATTCTCTTAATGAGTAATGGGTGTTTTACAGAGGCAGTTGCGCTCGTGCCATGGCGGATTTGCTATTTACACGGCGGAATTTGCAAGCGCAAAGACAGAACGCGTCTCCAGAGATGAAACGGTGCTGTTCGTGCGTGAGCAAATAGGTAGCCTAATTCTGATACATGCAATGGCTATCTATTATGACATGTAGGCATTTTTATATTCATGTAGCCTACACAATAATAATCTTTTACATTTTAATCTTTTATTGTTTCATATTTAAAAATGTTTGTGTGCTGCTGCGCGTCCCTGTGTGTAATAAGCAAAGTGAACGTGCATTGTGGACCCGCCCAGAGGTGCATTTTCTACTAATGCACTCTTTAAATAGCAAAAAAAATATTGCGCCATTGACTTTAGACCAGGTTTGAGTTGGTCAATGGCGCAGTCTATTTTCAGTTCCTCAAAATAGCAACACGCCAACAATACGCCTGAACACACCTCTTTTTTAGACCAGCACGCCCCTGAGCGCTCAGATGGGCTCAAATGCATTTGCTATTTAAACAATGCGGCGCAGGACGGAAAAATGAGAACTGTGTCGGGCTGAAACTAGCAAAAACACTTGCCTTGCGCCGGGTGTATGATAGCGCTCAATGAGACTTATGTCGAAATAATCACTTAATATGTCGAAATAACGAGTTATGTCGAATTAACGACTTAATATCTTGAAATAACGAGTTATGTTGAAATAACGAGATAAGTTTTCCTCTTTTTTTCCCCTACCATAAGTTTTCTTTTTTTTTTTTTTTTCACCATGCGGTTCAGGGCTAACGTAGTATTTAACCTGATCACGTTTAATAAAAATACATTTTAAGTTTCTAATTATAACGCCGCATGTCCACGATTATTCAAACAACAAACAAACAGCGAGCAAAGAACATTTACATGATCAATTAATTTAATAATTCAGTTTAGCGTGAGTGTAAGCACTCTTAAAAAAAGCTCCAGTTTTAATCAGTGATGTTGTCTGCAGTATATGATGAATAAATCTCTTATTTACATCGCATGTACATCTGCGCTTTGTTGTTTCTGATGAGAGAATTCGCCAAAGTGCAGAATTCAGTCAGCGAGCGTGCTCTCTGACCATAAGTCAGCAATGTTAATATTTAGTAAAATCCCATTAAATAATAGAAATAATAAAGAGATAATTATTGAACTAAAATCACAAAGCACACATATATATTTGTTCTCATATAATTCTGTCTTCATTAAAAAATCCCCCACCGTGGCCCCGCCCTGCAACATCAAGTCCCCCCACCCCCAGATAAAAACGTTCCCGCGGCTATGGCGTTTTTAGCTTTCATGAATTCTTGTGAACAGGGATTGTTTTGACAATGTTGTCATCTGTATGAAAACTACAAAAAAAAAAATGCAAAGGAAAAAATTTCAGCTTGCTGACGTGTTGAAATCCTTTTGTTCTCCAAATGTCCCAATTGATTTTCAGCATTTTAATATTTTCATTTTAGGCCTGATGAACGTGAAAGAAGAACAAGATGTGAATGAAGTGGAGGAGAAATATCAGTGTCAGAAAGCTCATGATGTCATCACTGGAGAAACATCAGTGAGTTGCTCCAAAATTGAAAAAAGTTGCTCGCAACGAAACATTCAAAGAAAAGAAGTCAAAAGGCATTTCAGCTGCTCTCAGTGTGGAAACGCATTCACTCGTAAAAAATACCTTAATAATCACATGAGTATTCATAATAGAATAAAGACTTTCACCTGCTCTGAGTGTGGAAACACTTTCAAACAGAAAAGAAGACTTGACGAACACATGACGATTGTTCCTAATGGAAAAAGGGCTTTCACCTGCTCTGAATGTGGAAATACTTTCACACGCAAAGAAAGCCTTAAGAATCACATGAAAATTCATGCTTTGCTTGAGGGCTATTCCAAGAGGGAAAGCAAAAAACCAGGAAGGCCTTCAGTGGAGGGGGGGAAAATGCCACAGAGGCTCACTGAGCGCCACTGGCTCCGCGTTGCTGATGATCGTCCAGATTGCGTCGTTTGTTCTGATCGCGCACGCTCTAAGGGCCGCCGGCAGACAAAGTACAGGTGCAGTCAGTGTGGGGTGGGTCTGTGCGCTGTGCCATGCAATGAGAGGTACCATACTCTCAAGAACTATAAACTGTGTCACCTAGATACCTGATTGGGCAGATAGCTGGTCAACTGATAAAAAAATAGGCACATGCATTTTACTATGGCACAGTAATATAGTAATAATTTACAATAGTTACTAATAGTTTTACTGTTGATTTCCTCTTTTCCTGATCATTTGGAATGAGGATAGAAAGACAAAAAAAACAAACATCCACTCCATATATATTATTTCCTGAATATTACTGATGAACTGATCAAAAAGTAGGCTACTGTTCACATGTGTTTTACTACTATATAGTATAGTAATATAGTAATAATTTAGTACTTTCTCCTGTTTTATTGTTGGTTTCCTGTTTTCTGATCATTTGGAATGAGGACAAAAATACAAACAAACAAACATGCAAATAAGTTCAAACATCAATTCAATAACCACTATTTCTTGAATATTATGAAATTCAAGATGGCCGCCCCTGATGACGTCATAATATGCAAATTAGATGAGTATATTTACACCCCACATAAACTTTCAGTCATGCCCAACATTTTTCTAATTTACAGTAGATCTCTATCTTTAAGCCCTTTCAAGCCACAAGCTTTTGAAATCTTGATGTCAAAATCCAGCATTTTTTTCCAAAAAACCCTGGCGCCTAAAGGGTTAAGAAGGACTTCAGCGAACTCTTTGAAACACTTCGAAGACTTAGTTCAGTCGTTCATCAGTGGACCACTCCCAGCAAGAGGAACTAACATGTTTTCACAGTTGCTTGGACTGAATACATGGCTACAAAGAACCTGCAGTATAAAAGAAGTGAACTTCATTGACAACTTCGATCTTTTCTGGGGTCATAGACAATTGTTTAAACCGGATGGCCTCCACCCAAACAAACTTGGTGCAAGAGTGCTAAAGGACAACATCTACTTCTCCATCCGTCATCCTTCAGTAGTGACACTGTCACACAGGATACATGTTTTAACATGCTCAATATATGATAATGATTTTATGTATAGTTGAGTTTTAATAGGTTTTCATGTTGTCTAAGCCATTTTATTACTCTTAACCATTTTAATGTGTGTATGTCTTTAAATGAGTCTGGGTCTGATCACATGACAGGAAATAGGAAATGGACAGCATAAGGAGATAGCATGCCAAACAAGCAAGGTCATTGCTTACGACCATTTGGTGATCACCTATATACTGGCTAGTGGAGTTATCTTTGTGGACTCACCTTTCCTGTGCTTTTGGATTATCACTTCCGTGGACTTTTTGTATATACACCGGTGGACACTTTTACTTTGAAACTTACAACACTGGATTTCTTAAGGACTTAATGGTATGGAACTGAAAGACTCAGCCTAGGATTTCTATTGTGAATATTGTAAATACACTTTTATTCATTCTACATTTGTCATTTTCTCATCTTTTTAAAACACTTATTTTACCTGACACAGTTTAAGCTGACCCCATTTTAACAATTGTAAACTCGACCGATAAGGCAGATCATTACAATTGTTATTAAGGACATAGCACTATCTGATCACTACTGTATTTTCTTTGATATATTGATCTCTGCTACCACTGAATCTAGATCTGTCTCTGTCAGAAAGAGATGCATT